GGGTCATAGCACGGCTGCCCTTGAGTCAAAGGGGAGCAGTTCACTTTCCCGGGCCCACAAGCCCAATCTAACCCTGACTGAACCAAGGCTGTGTCGGCTGATTGCTTAGCCACACAAAATGTCGGCTTTCTAGTGTCATTCTGGAACATCGTCGAAGACCCATTCAAATGCAGGGTATATACTGCCACTCCAATGCGATTAAACAGCCCCCAGTTCTGTTGTGAAGCGAGTCCGGGATTCTTGTCTTCATTGTACAGCTCAAAAATGTAGGTACTAACAGCAACACCGGGACGCTTTGGTGTCCCGGTGCCATTCAGAACACGACTAATCAGGTTACTATTGTACGTGTTAGCATTGTCATGCGTAGCATCTGGCTCAGAAAGTTCACCCTTGGAAGGCCAGCCTGACTCAGTCACCACAACTGGAATGTTTGAGTAACTGAGATTCGACATGGCAAAATATGCCGCATCCACCATCGCATCAAACACGTTAGTGTAGTGCAGGTACGTGCTGGAATCAATGGCGTCCTTGTTCGGAGGGAGGGGGCGAAAAAGAGCGTAGTCCAATGCGATTGTACCATTGGATGACACATAAGCAAAGTACGGGTAGACATTGAGCATCAGATATGAACCGGTGGAGTCCAGAAACTTGAGAAGGGGATTCATCACTCCAAGCCACGTGCTATTGAAGTGAGCTCGTGACGGTGGGAATGATTCGAGGATAACATCAGACGAGAGTGGAGTGGAGACTTTTATCTGGGAGTCAAGCCTAGCGCCAACGAGGGCCGAGTGGGTGAAATTCATGGCATTCACCAAGACACGAGCAGCGTTGGGAAGGGTGGCGAGGATGTTGGACCCGACTGCGATGGCAGTGATGTGGGTGGAGGGTATATGAGTCAGAATGTTTTGTGAAACCCATTTCGCGGCGGTTGCATTGGATTCGCCGATGCCTATGATCAGATCATTCGGAATCGTGACTACGACGCTAATTCCAGTGTTGGCAAGGGCCTTTAGCATAGCTTGGTCTGCATTGAAGAGTCTGACATGCCGAATTTGCTGGTCCTTGAGGAGGCTTACGATGTCAGTTGGGCTGGGCATATCAGAGATCTGTGTACCTATATTCACACCAATGAAAGCCTCTGCATAATAAGGGGAAAACACGGTGTTATTACTTGAGATTAGTTAGTAAATAGTCACACACTTTAATCGACTTTTTATCTTAGCTTGAAAGAGAATTGTCAGATCTATTGATGTCCAACAGGCAACAGAAAAAAATGAGCAACCATTGTATGCACATGAGTAACCTTAAGAAAAAGTGATCGAGATAAAAAAAATGCAAAAGAGAAACCGTCAGGAAATTTACAAAAAAATTACCAAATGTAGTACTTCTAGATGTAAGTATATCTATTTTGAAAAAACATAAGTACATATTTGCATCTAAAACTTATTTCAAGGATTGTTTGGAGTAACATGCAAAAATTGCTTGCCCAGCATCGCTTTACAAGGCTTTCGCTTAAAAATTGAAGTTTGGCTTTTAAAATATTGCTCCTCCTTTGGGATTAAGCAAGTTTTTGAAAATGGACCCTTTTTTTGGACCGCTGAATCGTTTGCTAACAATCATTCACACCTTTTGAACTGCATTCATAATGTAATGCAGTAGTTCCATGCCTTCTTAGAGATTAAATGGGTTTGCTCAGACTGAAGCTATGGGTACCTAATCATCAAACTATGGAAGGGTGAAAGGTTTGAATATGGAGAAGAATGATGCCCTTTTTGAGCACCAATAAATCACAAACCAGAAGAAGCTAAAAAGAAAACCAGTGTTTTCTCTACTTTCTCTAGGAGTACAATGCATGTTAGAATTTTAGATAGCAACAAAAGCCAGAGCAGACTAAGTGCACACTGCACAGTCTATGCCTCCCAAAAAATATGTGAGGGGTTAGTCTCCTCTTAAATAGCTTTTGTCTATTTCGTATACTCTGAAAGCTCATTATAATGGTTAACTTAGATCTTCTAAAAACTTCAATTATATATGATTTGTATTCATTAGAAGAAAATGCACATAAGCTGTGCAGCATGTATTGATATTCTTATTAAGACAAAGACATGTTTTGAGAAGAACACATAAATGAAAAAGATTCCATCTTTCTCCAGTCTCTAGAATAACCCAAAACTTTAGAGTGTACTGTAAATGGTAAAAACATTCCAAATTCCAAATGACTTTGATCCGCACTACTAATACACTCCCTTTGTCCCCAGCAAAGAACTTCACACTTCCTTATTTGGATGTCCCAAAAAAAAATTCCCACTTATAGTTTTTCCATTAAAAGAACGGAATATATGGCTTACAAAAATTCCCCATCTTCTAAACAGATTTCAACCACATAATTTTCACTTTTAAACGGATTTCTACATGACACGGTCGGAGGGAGTATGTTTTCCTCTAGGGTTTCCAAGAAAAAAACTCTAACTTCTATTAAAACAAAAACATGGCAAGCTATGCAGTAGCATTCTTCGTGCTTACAATGTACACCCTCTCAAGACACCGCCTAGCACAAGGATTAGGGTAGGCCTAGTGCTTTTTAGAACAGAAAAAATCTTTAATAAATTCTCAGGCTCTCATCTATATGACAATTTCAAGAATAGGAAGTAATGCATACAACAGCTAAGGTCAGAATAATATACATGAAATCCTTAAATTAGAACTCAAGAGTTAAACAAAAAAAAGATAGAAGCATATCTAGATGGCGGCAATAACCTCTCTTCCCCCCCTCTCTCCCTCCTTGGGCAACCAGAAAAAAAGGATTTAAAAGAGAAAACAGAAGGAATAAACTAATATACAGATGAATGAAGAGAAGTAACCTTCTCCATGTCCAGAAGGAGCAGCAAAGAATCCTGAAATGTGAATAACAAGAAGAAGCAGAGGCAAAAAAACATTCTTGCATTTCCCCATCATTTCCACCGCCCCAAAGCTACAATTTTTACAACAATAACAAAAACCACCAAATTCTACCAAATGATGTTTTCTTTTTTAAAAGTAAATAAAAGGTGGGAAGAGATGGATTGAAACTTCTTGTTTGTGGAAAATGGGCAATCTAGCTACAAGAAAGTGGGGCAGAGGAGAGTTTTTCATTCTTTTTCTTTTCCTTTTCTTACTGAGAAGAAGAAAAGGCGATTCTGGACTTTTAAAAGAGAGGGGAAAAGAGTTTGCTTGCTTTAATTTAATTAGTATGGAGTATGGACTATTCCCAAGTTCCATTACTATCGAGTCTATCGTATCTCAATAATTTTTGATTAGATCTCAATTATTTTTATTTATTTGTAAGTTTTATTGATTAACTCAAATACTCTCATAAACTAAACTATTTTTTCACATCTTATTTTTTTAAAACTATTGATATATTTTTGAATAGTGTAAATGGGTTTATTTTGAATTTTTTTTATTTTTATACTAGTTTTTAGTTGAAATTTTTTTAAAAGTGAACACTAATATTTCTTTGGGACGGAGTTAGTATTTTAATCAATTAAAAGTGTTGTTTGTTAAGTACAGATCATCAAAGTCTATATATAGAGCTTATATTGGAAGTGACGACCAGTTTTTGCTTTTGACTTATTTAGGCATTTTTTATTTTGACGGGTAAAGCACGGGATTGAATGAAATTTTTATCGATTATGTATTCTATCTTTAATGTAATATTTTCAAATAAATTATAAAAATATACGTAATGCATTCTTTAACACTATAGATATTAAAATCAAAATAAAATAAATAATGTAGCACTTAATATTTGGTAATGAAAATTCTTATATTTAAATTTAAAAGTGAGCACCTTAAATTTTCTTAAATCCAAATTTTATAAAAGACTTTGGGGTAAACAACATTTATTGTATGGTTTCACGAATTTTCATTATCATCTAGAATTAATATTTTTAACCATGTTTTTGTTGGAATTTTTTGCATTTTTAATAGGCATTAAATGGACCAATTTGGGTATATTTGTCAATAGGTCCACTAACGGTTTTAACCGTTAATTAATGGACGTGTGTTCTCTTAAATGAGATAAATGTTTTGACAATTTATACGCCAAAAATGGTAGAGGGTGAATGAGAAATTGATTCTCAGAGTTAACCCGTTAATAAAAGAACATGGTACGCATTGCAATTTTTTTAATTTTACTGAACCAATCTTCTTTTATTAATTTTACGTATTGTTTAAAATTAGTCCATTTTTACGGAGTTAACTGGCCATTAATCTCCAATTATTCGGGACAAATTTTAAACGGAGCGTAGCGTAACGGACGTGTTAATGGCTAATTAAACACCATTAACACACCATTAGTATGCCACAAATGCCATGATTAATACTAAGGGTTAATGGTGTAGGAGTTACACATTTTTAAACTCCTTACTTATAAAATCAAAGGGCCTCTCTCCTCTTTTCTTGAGCTCCATACGTGAGAAAGAAAGGAAATCTTTCTTGTTTATTTTTTGAGAGAGTTCTTGGTTTTCCGGCCAAATTTCCAGTCATCCCCTTTAAATTTTTTGGTCGTCAACGCTCCTACGTTGTTCTTGTTCGTTGGTGTGTGGTTGGTCCGTACAATCTCCACACACGATAGCGGTTTTATCCTGGGAGGAGAGTGCCCACGTTTTTCCGATACGGTAGGCAAACACTACTACCTTAAGGACAGCTCCGGCGACTCTGTTGTCCTTCCGTGGTGTTTACTTTGCAGGAATAGTTCATAAAGACCTCGCTGCATTCTGTCCTAGTGCATAATGTCCTCGCAGCCCAGTGCATAATGTCCTCACAGCCCTGTGCATAACGTCCTTGAATTGTTGTCCAGTGCTTAAAGACCTCGCTGCCCAGTGCTTAAAGACCTCGCTGTCCAGTGCTCAATGTCCTCGCTCTCCAGTGCTTAATGTCCTCGTACAACAAGGCCGTTTGAAGATATAGAAATTTATTTTCCAACTTTGTTTATTTTGTAATATTCTGAATAAATTATAAATTTAGAATATTATTTATTTTTTATTTCCGGGGCCGTTCATCTTCCCCGTCCATTGTAATCCGTACGAGAATTGTAACAATCTTAAGTTAGTAGTCATATCTGTGCGCAATGGCGGGTATGGACGGATTCGGTTTTGACGCTCACTCCGGAAACGGGAGTAGTTTCGAGACTCCGGCTGTGAACGTTTCGGCTGGATTGGGTGGCTCTGTTGGGCAGACCATTTCGATCAACATTCTTTTCGGATCGAGTGCGGCCATGGGGTCCACTCCGATCACCACCTTCGTTGGATCGAGCGCGACTATGGGGTCCGCTCCGGTCACCTCGGTTATTGGACCAACCGCGGCTGCGGCCACAATGGTCACCCCACTCAGACCGAATATGGCTTCGGCCATACCGGTCATTCCTTCACTTGGACTGAACACGGGTGTCTTCACATCCGCACTGGTCGGACATCCTACTGTCATGCTGCCTGCGAACTCTGTTAAAGAACCAGCAAAGTTCACAGGTGTTGGCTTTAAAATATGGCAGCAAAGGATGTTATTTTGGCTGACCACCCTCAACCTTGCGAGGTATTTGAGGGAGGATCCCCTTGTTGTGGGGGAGAACGCGGACGAGCCAACAGTTCAAGGGTAAAATGTAAATTATTATTACCCAAATCAAAACAAGTACATCAATGTTATATGCTTAACCATCAACATGGTTACACGCATAGTTACAGTGTTACAAGTACCACGCATCTATACAAGGATCATCACTACATTACAGCATTACATCGATTACATAAGTGGCCTATAAAATTCCCTTCAAAGAGTCATTAGTCTCTTCTACAACACAGGGAGGCCAGACCATTCAAGATTACAAGAACAGGAGTAAAAACCATCAAGTTGTGTCAGTTTCCAAGCATAGCAAACAGCAGCATCATTGTTGAGTCATTCAAAAGTAAACCCAATTCCCTTCGAAGAGTGGTATTCTCTTCTACAACACAGGGTTGGTTTGAAGCGCCATGGTATACACAATCAGCACCCACAGCCAAACATCCATCAGGCAGGCCCTGTTGCAGTGGCAATCCTCAAGCCAATTCGAAAGTCAAGCTGCCTGAGGAAGTGGTGTACCCCATCCTTGCAAGTCCCAAGTCCAGTGTCAAAAGCTCATTCAATCGTTCCAAGAGTCAATCTTCAAAATGTTGTGCTTAGTCACCTTTCACTGGTGTGGTGACTAATCCAAATGTTTAACCTCATCATATTTCAATTCAAAACAGCGTCCAAGTTCTCAATCAAGGCCAAAGGACCTCACCATGTAACCTGGCCAATCTCAAGAATGATTGGTGACACGTTTCATGGTTAAGACCCCCGGAGAAATCAAAGTCAAGAGAGAAAAGAAAGGAAAGGAAGAAAGAAGGGAGAAGGGGG